TTTTTTTTAATTTTGGAGAAACTTTTCTAATTATAATATAGTATAAATACTATAAACATAGGTACTAAGTACGATTATCCATACGTAGTTACTATGGTATTAGGTCATAAATGGAAGAGAACATTAAGAAGGAACATTTTAGTTAAAATCGTTCTGAAAAAAAGTGATTTGATTCGGAAGGGTCATGAAACCTCTTTAAATTGGAGGGATCACATCACCCATATATATTTATATACAGAGTAATTCTTTTAATGATTCGATTTTTCTTAAAATAAAAAGTTTTCTGAACAACTTTTTTGTGGAATTTGTTAGATACATTTTATTTCCATTTATGTATTAAAAATATTTTTTATGTTCATCTCATATCTTATAGGGCTGTTAGCTTTATATTTTTATTTAAATTGTAACATATGTATGGTAAACTAGCTTATAATATAAAAAATAATTTAATTACGAAAGTGATTGATCGGTAATAACTTTTGAACTAATGTTCCGGAAGATATTTATATTTTAATATATAGACTGGAGGTAAAGTGTGAATACTGCTATTTTTATCATTAGTCATTTATCGACCGCACTCGTCCTTCTGCCTGAATACGAAAATATAAATATTTTTTGAAGCATTAGTTCATAAGTTTTTATTGATCAGTCATTTTTGTAATTAGTTTACTTTCTATATTGTATGCTAGTTTAATATAAAAAACTATTATAATAATATAGTTTAAATTTTGGCAATTTTCCAAAAAAATAAAAAGAGGTGATTTTTAGCAATACTAGTATAATAAAAACGGTAGCACAGTGGGGTCGCGGCATAGTGGAGACATTGCATAGTAGGGTCCAGTATAGATTTAATCTGACAGTGATTAAAATCACTATCATAAGAAACGCTTCGATGCAAATCTGTAGATAGTGTTTAATTTTAAAAAATTGATGGATAATTGCAAAAGCAACATCAACTTCTATTAAAATAAAATACAAAACCCATAATTTTCATACAAAAATAGCATATTTTTGAATATGGTAGCCATTGGCGTATAGAAGATAGATCGTCGGGACAAATTTTTTTTTTTCATTTTGTAGTACATAAAATAAGCTTTAATTTGATATATGTTTAAAGGACGCAGTATTTCCGGAACATTTTCAAAAATTAAGTTGAAAAAATTAATTTTTGTAAAAAAGTTGCCATTTTAAATCCCCCCCAATGAGCAGGTTAAGTGATAGATTTTCAAAAAAATGATATCAAATGAAAGGTAAATATCTAAGGTTTTAGTATAAAAAAAAATTATGTTGATTTGTTGATTTTTCAAAAAGTTATGGAAGTTTTAAGAAAAAAAAGTGAAAAAATTTCAAAAATTAGCGATTTTTAAATTTGTAATTTTTTTGGATATTTCCCCCATTTGCGGGGAACGAGGGAATTTTTTTCAATTTTTAAGGGTAATGTCTTCAACTAGATACGATTTGTGATCTTTTGACGTATTTTTGAAAGAAATCGGTCCAGTGAGAGTTGAGAAAAAGTGGCAACAGACAAAAAAAAAAAAAAAAAAACACATCATAGTAAAATTAATACCTTCTCCGCTTCGCATCGAAGCTAAAAATTGAATACATTTCGAAAATTAGCGATTTATAAATTTGTAATTTTATTGGATATTTCCCCCATTTAAGGGGGACGAGGGAAATTTTTTAAATTTTTGAGGGTAATGTCTTCGACTAAATACGATTTGTGATCTTTTGACGTATTGTTGAAAGAAATCGGTTCGATGAGAGCTGAGAAAAAGTGGTAACAAACACAAAAAATAAAAAAAAAACATCATAGTAAAACCAATACCTTCTCAGCTTCGCATCGAAGCTAAAAATAAATTGTAAATTAATACTATGAAGAACCATGATTTAACACATTTATAATTATTTTTCATATTTTAATCATTATAAAGTTATATTAATGAAATATTTAACTATATAAAATAATCAGATATATTTTTTATTGTAAAATTATTATCGAAATAATATTAAGAAATTATAACAATTAACCTGAGCTTGGTGTTATATTAAGAAAATAACGAATTAGATACGCTCAATATTGAATACAACACTCTTTTATTTGAAATCACACAATTTTTTTAAAATTATACTATATCTAACAGTGTCGTATCCAGAAAATGTTAAAAAAGTCAAACCTCTTATATTGGTCATACTAAACCATCATTTTAAGTAAGAAAATAACAATTAAAATATATTTTCATCATTACTACTAAGTGATTCTATTTAAGTATTGAAATTTAACTCTTATAAAATTGATGACTGCACAAATAATATCTATAATTTTTTCTAGGTCCACTTCTGATTATTTTATTTTCAACATTAATGATTTATTAAATTCATTTTTCGTATGAAGTGCAAATAAATATTAATTATAATCATAAAAAGTTGAACTGTTATTACTTTTGCACACTTTTATATTATTTCCACAATAAAAATGATAACTTTTACGGTCACACAATTATGTTATAAATTAAGCGGCTAAATAATAACATAATCGAAGGCCATCGGACAGTGCGCCTAGTCGTGTACATATGTTTATAAAAAAAGATATCCGGAAAAAATCAGAAGAAAATGCATGAAAGACCTTCGATGAAATTAATACGGTTAAAATCAATGTTTCGATACATATCAAATCTTGTAATGGATAATACACATTGTGAGTTATTAAGAAATCCATTTAAATATTTTGTAATAAATCAAAATTGAAAACTGATTTCTGATGTTACACTTGACTTAATGAACAATATCACCAATGGCATGACTAGAATTAAGATCTCTAAATCAAAATATTTATTGGGAGAACCGTCCTGAGAGATGGGGTGAGAGGTGTCGTACTCCTTTATATGACATAATTTAATTGTTTAATTCGGAAGGAAATGCAGTAAAAGTATTAAATAATACGTAAAACAATATTTGATTGACATAAAGTCGTCGACTATTCAATTTTAAATATCAATACGAAGAAATCATTTTTGAAACGCCTGTTTTCAACCCAATTATTCGAAAACCCAACCCAACCTCTAATTATCAAAGAAACAATACAATTATTTTATGAGGCAACAAGTAAACTCAGTGATTTAACGGCTTAACTATTTGTGTACCTTACTTAGGTAGAATAATTTTTGCAAGTTTTATAAGAAGTCAATTCGGTCTTTTTGTAAGAATTCTTCGTTGTAATAATGTAAATGAACTTATTTCATTTTATTATTTTGCAATGCGAAACTATGTGAAAATACATTTTTTCATAATAAGTTATTCGCGTGGGAACTTGGGTATATTTATAAGGTATTATTTTTTACTGGTAGTACCAATACACGACATTTTATGTTAATATAAAAACATTGTCCATCTAATATTTTTTAATAATTAAAATTATCACAATATTATTCTCAATGTTTAAGAAATTTTTAACATACAAAAGAAAAATGTTTAATTATGTGTACTAGTTATATATATATGACGAATATTAGGTAAATTTCAACTTATACNTTATGTGTACTAGTTATATATATATGACGAATATTAGGTAAATTTCAACTTATACCTTAATGTCTACATGAACAGTTAGTACAAAAATAATTATTAATAAAATCAATAATAATTTTTACATATTAATAAAATACAAAAAAAACAATATTAGCAAAAAAGTCTACATAATTTAAATTTTTTTAAAGTTAACCATCACTTTATCAATTATGAATAAAATAATTTCAGTAGTGAGATGATCTATTACGGTTGTTTTTTTAATTTTTAATCTAATGCAATACCAATTTTATCCTGGAAATTACCACCCGTGTTCATAGTATAATAATTCGCAATGAACGATTAATTAAAAGTATTTAGAATTAATAGGAATGCAAAATGTTTTTTTGTTTTCGTTGATACCTTATCATATATATAATTATTGTTAACTAAAACTTTTAACTTTTGAAAAAAATTTTTTTTTTAAATTAATAATCATAAAATCTATTTTTAACAACATTTTTTATAGAATTACTATTTATATTACTTTTATGAACATTATTTTAAGTTTCAGAAAGACAAACATTGAATTTATATTATAATTTCTTGTGCAGATATTACTTGAGAAACAATTTTATTTCGATGTTAAAACGAAATTAAAATTTATCTTTATCACGTAAATATTTTTCTTCCATGGGGAAAAATTAAAAACTTTCCCATTGATAAGTACTCGAATTTATACTTAAAGAATGATAAATTTTGTTCATTCTCTTCAAGTTAGGATTTGTTATGCAATGTTATGTTTAAAAAATGTTTTACTATACTTAAAAATAAATAAATTATTTTACAAAAACACATAAAAACAATTTATTTAAAAATTCCCCAATTTTATATTTTGTTCTATAATATAATAACTTTGATTATTTATTTATTTTTTTGATAACGTGTCGTTTTTAATTAGTATCACATAATGTTTAATATTAGTTGATTAATGAATATTCAATAAATGATAATTTTCTCTGGCTTCTGTTTTCTATTTATTACAATATTGTTTTTCATAAATTATTTTATGTAAATTTTGTTCGAAGCATTCGTGGGAAAGGTTAATTTTACTTAAGTCACTTTATATATTTCTATTAATTATGAGTTCTTATTTCAATTTATTTTGCACTATAATTTTATAACTTGATTACAATTTAACTGTGAGAAAACAAAATAAATCTACTAAATAATAGGATTATGACAGTATACAAGACTAATCAAGTATATTTCACATTAAGAATAACTCACACACGAGAGGGAATTATTAAAACAATAATTATTATTAAATTGCTCAATCGACGGATATCCTAAAAGTTCTACAATTTGCATACTGGTTATTTTCAGACTTAACACGCCCTTCCCCTTTCTATAAATTAAATTGTTCAAATGGGGTTATTCAGAAAATTTTATTTCAAAACAGTTAATTTTCATTGAAAAAATTACATCTCTTTAATTACCGATTTGGAATGTCAAACAATCACTACGTTTCTGTAAAAGCCACCGGCCGTTGGACAACACGTCAAAACCAACGAAGGTCGTTTACTGTCGTTTATGTATCGTGGCGTCCGATAGTCGTATCCGCGGCACGCAGCGATGATNTTATTTCAAAACAGTTAATTTTCATTGAAAAAATTACATCTCTTTAATTACCGATTTGGAATGTCAAACGTTTCTGTAAAAGCCACCGGCCGTTGAACAACACGTCAAAACCAACGAAGGTCGTTTACTGTCGTTTACGTATCGTGGCGTCCGATAGTCGTATCCGCGGCACGCAGCGATGAAGATCCTGGTGAGGTGGAGGGGATATCGCGGAGTCGGTAAGGCGAAGATATGGCGATCGTATGCCGACGGTGGTGGGCAAGACACACAACGACGTTTTATTGAGAGTGGGTCCGTCGCGAACGGGAAGAGTTACGGGGGGAAGCCGGTTTCTTCGGTGGGGGTCGCCGCTGTAATACGCGTAGCGCTCGCTCCACGCTGCACGCCGAAATACCTGGTTCACCTGGCCGTATCACCTGGTTTCCCCCACCCCGTCCGGTTACCGGTCCTCGTCACAGTTTACCTGTAGCGTACATACGACTTTTTTGTATCTACTCTCACCGCCACACCGCCCGTGTTCGCACAACGCAACCGAGCGCCGACCACACTCGACAGCATTCGGTCTCCGGCGCGCGCGATCGTCCGGTTCGTACACACACATAAAAATTTAATCGTCGAGTTAAAAATTATTTCGTTGATATTAAAACAACGCTCAGATTCCGATATCCGATCCTACCGCAAAAGGATTAACATAACCGCGTCTGCCGGTAATAACATAATAAATCCAAGTAGCAACGTACGTGTTATCGCGATAGTGTTTCCGATTGACATCGTTCGCTGAAGGATTGCCACTGCTGACGGATAAGAAAACAAGGGATTCAAACCGGTGAGTGTACACTGTTCTAATCAAATTTTTACTGTGATTCGTGTTGCCGGGGCGTACCGTGTGCGCATTCGAATCGTCGGCAAACGCAACAGGTATGTCCCTACGTATGTCCTCTCGCTCTCTCGTTCACCCACACAACACTTGAACGGCGCACAATAATATTTCGGTGATGAGTTTTCGCCGTTCCGGACGTTAACACGAATGTATTTACTATCGTCGTGATAGGCTTCTAATCTAAAATTAGACTCTCCTGTGTCGGCCGATTTACGATAACGAAATCTGTTAACAGCACACCATCGTTGTTGTTATTGTTATTTGATTTCGTCTTGCGTGCAATTCAACGTGCCACAATTATTCCGGCGAGTGTTGCTGGAGGTGCGCTGTTCGGACAGAGTCGAACGGTTTTCCACACCTAAGACTAGTCGGTGCATGAAAACTCTTCGGTTAACCCGTTTGCGGCGTTGGCGTTTTTCACGGTGCATTCCGTTTCACGAGATTTTCCAATCGAAACACGTAAACATTTGGCAATCGCGGTGCCGTGAAATTTGTGAAAGTCGATACGTGTTATCACTCACCCGAATTAACACTTGGCCGTAAACGTCGTTTACACCGTCCGTCGACACATCCTTAAGCGACACCGTCAAATAGAACGTCGGTTTTTATCAATTCGCGTTTCCTTATCAGCTGTCGAATGTGTACAAAGCGAAACTCCCGAAAGAATTCTTGCTCGTTATTGGAAAATTCACTGTGACCATTAAACTAGTGACCCCAATCGACACTACGACGTTACAAAGGCTAATTTGTACACGTAGTGCATCACATTTTAGTGGTTATTTACATAATACTTATGAAACCAGCGGATTAGTTATTCTAAAATGTATTCGGCGTTGTCGACCGTTTGGGTGTAGATTTTAAATTGAACTACAGTAAGTACGTCAACACTGTTATTTTTGTAATTGGGTAATTTGGTCACAATTAATATTCAAATGAAAATAGAATCGACATTTCATACGTGCACCAGTGAGACACACAAAAATATCAATGCATTCGTTAGGTAAGGTCTTCCCTGGAGTTATCAATTTTTAATACTGTATCTATGTAGAAAAACAGCTGGGAAAGTGTTTGTTCTGTGTCATTTTTGTAATAGTCGTTAAAATTTCTCTAAATAAATTCAAATTACTTTACTTTTGTGTGGTTAAAACTATTGGAACTCTCTCGTTGATAACATGTCGACTCGCTTTTTTATCAGAACACAAGAATAACTTCATTACGATAGCAATTCATTGTAGAGATGGTATTGAATTATTACGTTCCAAATGGTAAATTAGCTAATTACTGAATGATACTTATATAGTCATTAAAGTTAGACAACGCAAAGTATTTTTCGTCCTCAATATTTACGAGGAAGTATTTAAAAATTCCATTACGAGCAGACTTGTTCATACTTTTAATGTACAATTTTGTGCTATATGCTTTAATTGTGAATTTAATACATTTATAATTGGAGTAAACGTTAGGTTTCAGCCAAACGCTAATTGCGTTAATAAACCAACAATTCATAATACAAATGATGATTACCAAAGTTTTGGATTTTTACTTGATGTATTACAGTTTGGTCACACGAGAAGGACAAACAATCCTTTTAGATATTGTATCATCAACTCGATTGTTACACAATTCTCAATAACAATTTTCTGGACATGAGACAATTTTTTTGTTAATTTACTGAGTGTGCTTCGTGATGCGTATCCAGTTGTAAACGCGGCGTAGGACAACATCGGTTGACATTCCCGTTGTCGGTGGCACCTGACGGAATTCAATAATCGACAATTCGTATTTCTCTACCTCGCCCATTCCACGTACACAGCTAAGACTTAGTTCCGTAGGAGATTATGACCGAAATTTACTGAAATGCTTTTGTTTTAGCCGTCCAATCACTTAACGAGTACATCATTGGGTAAAAACTCAAAAAGTAATTTTGATTACTGTGTAGATTGCAACCCTTCCGACAAGCGGATGGCTGACTATAGACTTTGGGGTCGGAAAGAGTATTACATAATAAATCGACTGTTGTTTGGCTTCCTCCGTCGGCTCTTAGAGCACAAACAAAATACTCCTTTGAATCGTAAAAACATCGGCCGTTGTCCTCGAATTGAATAAAAAAATGGTCAGCGTACAATTATTCATATTTATAACGCACAGCAGTTTAATATATGCATCGTGCTCGTCGCCATATTTGTAGTTTACGGTCACAAACGGTTTTATGTTATGATTAAGGTGGTACCCTTGCTCAACATTTTTTATTCGGTGTATTTTCTTGGTATATTTTTAGACAACTTTTAACGTTATATTTAATTATTACCATTTTGATTTGGCGTTTTTAACTTTTGATTCGGCTAAAAATTAAATGTTTATCGTTATTACCAGGAGACAGTACAGTGATAATATCGTAGGAACCACAGAGAGAGAGAGAGAAATGAAAACGAGTTACAAGAATAACTGGTTTTTTTAAGACACGGTTTTTTTTTTATTTTTTATTAAATACTGGACACATGGTGTGTTTTTCTACGATTGAATCGTGTCCGGTCCACTGCGGATAGTCTCAGGGATCGTTAATTAGACTGTGATTATTTTGATGTCGTCTACTGATAGCAAAATGACAAATGCGCGTCGTACATTTTGACGTGGTCGCAAAATTTTTAATATGTTTTTATCGACTAAATTTTTGCTCGTTCCAAAGGATAAATCATAGTTTGTTCGCATCACGAGAGGAAGTGTAACAATGTCAGAGTGACGGTAGCAGCACATTGCATGCGGAAGCAATCACAATTTTCAAAAAAAAATAATCAGCCAGGGAGATTGTTGTGTCGATACTATTAATTTTTTTCATTCTATTATTACACATGCATATATCATAGCGGTCTCTGTACAAAAGATAGAAACGCACAGACTGGTACTTTTATAATGTACACATCGATTTTTTATTCCGTTGTAATTTCGTGTTCGGTGGTTTTTTCGTGATGTCTATTAGCAAAGCGAAATTTCTTTGTCGACGGTAGTTTTCTTCAGATCATTACATTTCTAAAGCACTTATGTTCATAATACTGATCCACGAAGATAAGTCGTTGGATGGCGATTTTTTTCTTATCTATTCGAAATTGTTATTCTTTTCAGAATTTGATGACTTTGTTTACATTATATAGACCTAAGTGTTGCGTAACATAGTTGTTACACAATCGAAAGCATTTTTCTACTGGTCGGTGACAATTTTTAACTATTTTTTTTTTAGAATATTATGATTTTTTTATAAATTTTATGTAATTTAAACTGGTAGCACAACGGTTATCGAAAAGCATATTACTACCGACGTGGTAAATTATCTTTTCAACCGTACCGCGACCTGCACCGAACTTGTATGCAATTTTTTATTTTGTTATTACTTTATCTTTAGGTGTACAAATCCTTCAATGTAAATTCGAGTTGTTGCTATTGAAAGAGAAAAGAATATTCTTTCGTCGGTTCATGGAATAAGCTTTGGACTGTTGCCGGATTGACAGTTAAAGGTCTCGATCGTACTAATGTTTTTAACTATATCGGCCGTGATTCTTCATCTAATCTCATCGTCATTAGAAAGCGCTAAAACCTAATTTTAGTTTACGTTACAGTCTAACCGCATCTCATTAAAAACGATAATATGATATTAACTCTCTGGTGATGGTCGGGAAATTCCATTTGGCTTCTCTACAACTCAAAACCTCCCATTAGTTGTCATTTGCAAGGTGACAAATGTTCTTGCCTAACGTTAACTAATAAACAATTATCAATTGTTATGGTTTTCCATAATAATGAAACTTTGCATTAATTTACTATATCTTTTGAGGGCATGGAATTCGTGTCGGGTATCATTTCTTCTTTCTTTCTACACGACTTGTTATCAGTTGGCCTCATCTATGATTTCGTTTCATCGTCGTGAGCCCTTAACGACGGAATTTCGTTTTTCTTTACCCGAATATGTATAAGTACATATTCAACGAAACACAGCTAACCAGTTCAAGTATACATTTTTCCAGTAAAAAATATAAGCAATTTAATTATTATATTGTTTTTTTTTAGTAATAGAGACAATTTTTCATTGATAAAAAAAAATTAAATTACAAATAAGACTTGTTAGTAATTGAGATAGTGTTTAATTAAAATTTTCTTTTAAATTAATTTCCTTTAAAAATTACGCAAAACACAGTTGGTATTCAAAAACATGAACTGCTATTTTATTGCTGAAAATTTTTGTTTTTACTATACAGAATTATTTTAATTTTTTGATTCGGTAAAATTATATAATTGATATTTGCTCTTTATTAATTAATACCACCGATATTATTTTAAACAAATAGTGTTATGCATGTCAATACCCTTCACATTACCACAGTTTGAAAGAATCTTAATATTATATCAGACGTTTTGCGTTCTTTTAGGAGAAATCGTATAGTCGCACACAACAAAAGAACAACAAAGTGCTAAAAAAAAACCTCATATATTGAAATTTTTTTACCAATTCTTAACTCGACTGTCTGTCTCTACTGATGTTAATCGATGGCCAATTTTGTATTGTATTCAAGTGCATTTGGCGTAACCGCTCTGTGTTTATTTTTGACAACAGCATTTCCATACGATACCTATTGTATTGTATTTCACGTCATGTATATGAAGTTTAAATATGCTTACAGAGCGTATTATATTAATTGGAATAAGTTTTCATTAAAATTGTCCAAAAATTATAACGGTAAGAATGCTCAACCATATTCCAGCGCTATAATCAAACAAAGTTTGGATATTTGTGACGGTCAAGTGTTCTATCAGACTAATCGATAGAATAGTTTTAAATATGAATTAATTAGTATTCATTAAATAAATACTAATTAAAAATAAATATGGTTTACCTGGAAAGACAACAAGCTCCAGTGACATCAGCGAAAAATTTGTTTAAATAGAAGCGTTCAATTATGAGCGCATTGTCGAAGGTCATGAAAATCGAAGTTAAATTCTACCGCAACATTCGAATTACTAATCGGCAAAACAATTCCGTTGCTTTCTTAATGTCCAACGATTTACGTGTGTTTATCAAGTTACATTAACTGTGATAATAGTGTATTGGTTTAGTATATAGGTGACATTGCCAAGGGCGAACACAAATACCGGACTACTTGTTTGCTTCATTAGTGGCGTTGTCCTTCGGCCACACGAACATTTCATTCATATTCTTTAGTAATGCACACGATAACTACCCCAATCCGCCAATTATCTCCTTGTGTATCAATCGATTTTGTTTATAATTTTACATTTTATTATTTACTGAATGTATTGTACTTTGGATATTAGCGTGATGCAACTACGTGCCGTTGCATGTTCTGTTAACGACAATTATGTGTCTTGTAAGAGATTTACACATTAATACATAAATCATGAACGAGTAACGCAGTAGCAGCTTATTTTTTATGTTTTTTTTTTTTGTGCAGGTGATGGGGAATAATAATCGACGCACCGCCAACAGATTGTGATTATTACCACGGGAAGTGGCAGGGGCGGAGGGGGAGGAAGAGGCGGTTCAGTTTTATCATCGGCAGCCGGAAAGCATTCCAAAGTGCGGCAAGTTCCCAAAGAGCAGCGCAACGGCCGCTACCATGCGAGTGACACAACCGTTCCTTTGCGCCCTGTACGTGGCCACCGCCGGTCATCAGGGCAACCTCCTCGGATCCGACGAACAGGAGATCGTCCTTCTCATTTACGTCGTCATCGACATGGCCACCAACACGGTAAGAACTCATCAATATGATAATTTTGCCGATAAAATACGAAGTCTGTAAGGATGTTCATAAAAAATACCAATAATCAAAATATGTTTTTTTGTGTTTACACAACAAGGGTTGGAGTTTCTTTTTTGACGATTTGCGTCAGTAGAAATCGGTCGAGCGCGTCGTTTTTTATAATTATTTCGATTCCTATTTTTAGAACGTCCTTGTCTGTCGACTAAGTATAGTTAAGTATACCTATTCATGTACGAAATACCACGGCGAGGTATAATTTCAAGTGCCAATTTATTTGATTTTCCACTCGCTGTCCTAGTCAAGTTTTAGTTTTGTCGATACATCAACACAAGTTAATTACATTTATTATTACGTTTGCGATGCACAATATCATTAGGACGATGATAATTTCGTACCGAGTGCACGCAACTTTCTGTTATTTTCGTCGACGATAACCGGTTTGGTAGAGAATACTTAAGTACGACATCAACCAGTGAATTAGTACCGACACGAAGTTTGGCTAATTAGTTCTGCTTTTGAGACAGCTCCGACAGTAGACTTATTTTGCTAAAACTTAAAAAGATATATTTCTAAAATGTTCTCTGCTAACTGTGTAAAATAATTATTAGTCGGGCAAAACGAAAAATAATAAATTCGTTTTTGTTCTACAACCATTTGTAATTCTCATTAATAGGCGATTACCATAACAATTCAACACACACTATTGTATAACCTCCACAGCGCCCTGTTATCATCGAATTCTGTTAAAATCGGTAAATATTATGCTTTTTGAAACACCATAACCCTTTTTAGTTCCTACAAAATAGTGTAGCCAGAGGATAACATGCATTCACGGGGTAAGGTTCATTACAAACTGGCCACGTAACGCTACGGCGAGAAAACCTATACAGGATTCATATGAAATGTTTTTACCTGTGTTTTAAAATACTCCTTATAAACATGACTGCGAGACCGCAACGGTTTATAGGAAGGGTCTGATGTATAACACTGTAACGATGCGTTGCCACCGTAAAGGCGTTTTATCGCGGTCCAAAACAAAGAAAAGATCTAAATCCTGCTACCCACCAGGAAGTATTCTTGCATCACGAAGGAGCCTTTATAAACATGTCTTTCTAGGAGTACAGCTCGACAGTAGCCGTAGAAAAAACGTACTTGAAACTGTCCTTGGACGTTTATCATAAAAAATTGAATAATCTCTTCATAACCGCTTTCAATTTGATGAAAATCATACCCAAAGAGGTATTATCTACTTGTTACGAGCATATACTGCGTAATGTAAATAAGCTGTTTAGCTGAAAGACTTAACGCCGCTATTCAAACACTACACGTTTTTAAATCTGCAAACAAATGATTTTTTTCTTCTGGACATGGCGTATGTTTTTGTTTTTTTTTTCAATCGGTAATTTACACCCAACTAGTTTTGTGCTGATGGAGCGTTGCTAGCGACGTTGCCACTAGTGGGCGAGGGACGAGTCAAAATGGCCGAACGCCTCCGCCCGTGACCCTGCGCGCGCGTTCAGCTCATCCCGCCCAGTGGTGCGATACGACGTGTACTTTTTTTCAAGAATATTTCAGGGAGGCTGAAGTGGCGAACGTCGTTTAAGGACTACGCACTTGCTACACGGCGACGCGATTGTTTTTCCAAATTATATGTTTTAAAAAACGACAGCGGTCACACACAGTCGGCAACGGTCCTTCAATTAGTCACGGCCTCCTGATCGTTTGTGTTGCTGCTCAGCGCAGTGTAAAGATAATGTGCTGCACACGATAGAAATAATAATCGACTCGAAAGTTTCGCGTGTATTTTTTTTTTTTTAGACTTTATTTCATATTTTTTTCCGAGTGTAATTAAAAGTCGTATATCCACTTCGGAAATTACTGGTCATTTTTATTTTATTTTTCAAGTTCTAATTAAGAGTTGCGTATTTTACGCAATACAACACCGGAGAGTGTACAGAATGTGTGTTGTTGTCGTAAAACTGTGTTGATGTGTGTCTTCTTGATTTTCATTTTTTAATTTATGACGCCAACTGCACGCGAGTTTTTAGCGAGTAAATCGTTTTCTGGGCCGGAAATTTTAAACTTATGAACATTGTTCCGTATTGTAATGCTGATTTTTCATGTAAAATATTGTTCCTTGGTAGTGACGTAGAAGAGAGGAAGTACTTTAAAATAACTGAATACCATTCCGATGGTTTTCTGTAACAAATACATTAAGTGTGTTATCAATAACAAGAATTACCGTCGAGGTCGGGAGTAATGTTGCGAACCCCCTGGTGGTGCACCAGGAATTCTATGTTTTTTTAATAAAATTATTTTTTTAAATATACACTGAATATTTCTACATATAAATTCCTAATCAACATTTTAAATGTAGTTAATATATCAAGCCATAATACGGACCTAATTCGAATTCATTGAGATTTTAATTATCACGTCTCGTTGATTAGTTTAAACCACTTTGTGTTATGATTACAACATTGGATCCTTATTATAAATTGAGATAAACTTCTAAAAATATACAAAGTCGTGTTGACCAGCTGTCCTCGAAATTGCAACTGTAATATAAAAATCATTAATTAATAATTAAAAAACAAATAATTTGTTATTGCAAATGATTAATGAAATTCTCAAATTTGTTAATTACACGTATTAATTGTTGGTGTGTTATTCGATTTTACGAATAAATGTGATTCTCGTGACAAATTGACATTGATTACTATTTGACTATTAAAGATAAAAATTTTATAGGAAAAATGATGAAATAAAAATGACAAAAATAATTATGTGTATGTGTAATGTTTACATTGTGTTGAATTTCATTTGATAAACTTGCCTTGTCCTGCTGCACTCGGTACTTAAAATTCATAAATAACATTAAAAGTACGAGTTATCCTTCTGAAAGTTTCCATTGTAATACGCGCACCACGAAAATCCATTCTACCGGTGGCATCTTCTGATGTGTCACTCGCCACGAGTTCAAGGTTACCTCTGTGTGGTACCAGTTCAAGGTCCCCGTAAGCTTTAAAAAAATATACATCAGCACTTATGCTATTGTTGTAATCAATAGTATTTTTCTGCGTTCGTATTGCCAGTGTGTGATCCGTTTATTTGTCCGTCTGGGAGACGTTTAATTTATTCGCCATTGCTTTCATATTTAATTGAAGTACATTACAATTAAGAACAAAGTTTCACCAAAATCCTCTGTCGTGTTTAAATAACGATTTATCTCGAATCCAAGTAATCTACGCGCATCGTATTTGTACAATTAGTGTATTACAGCGTTTGTTGGTTGAAAATATTTTTCAAGGGATTAAGATTGTCGGTCATGATAGCAATAATAATAATAATAATAATAATTTTTTTGTTATTGTTATAACCTCCGCACGCATAATGTATTGCATGTGATGTTGTTTAGAACAATCGTGTGTGTATATTATTTAGGATTCCGACAATTTGAACGCTTTTCCTTCAGCGTTTCACTACGGTCTACCGGTTCTGGAGGGGAGGGGTCCGCCTAAACACGCCAAGTTTCTGCATTAAAATACGTATGGAATAATTGGTCGGTATTTTATTTGTTTGTACTGTCGTAAGTTTTCTTTTTCCGAGAGACATGAAATTGACTCGGACGATATTTGCGTCGGCCCTCTGTGGATCGCAAACAGTTCTAGTCTGGACTTATAATTGCACAGTGTTCGTGGTATACCGGCCGACTACAGTGAACATAGCGTAATAATTGGATTCGGAACGGTGAACACTGACTTTTTTTATTTTTCTCCGCAACAACAACAGCCGCGTGTGACCGATGTGATTGAAAAAAATACCTTCACCGCGTCTTCTAATCCATTAGCCATCGCGGATCCATTGCCGTTGCTGCAACCGCATAACGGGTTTCCGATCATTGTTTTTTTATTGTATCGATACAACGACTGCTAAGTACCGTCACCGTATACCAAACCTTTTTGACGCTTATCGTCTAAAAATTGATTTGCCCACAAAATACCAAACGTATTACCTTTCGCCAGCATCTCAAACTTGTTAAAGTTCTTATAACTTTTCGGGGCCTAAGGATAAAAGAGTTGATGCGTTTTTAAACGATATTTAAATCAAATTATAATAATCTAATTTACATTTTGCGTTTAAAGTTAATTTCGCTACCAAAACTAATAATAATGAAGCGTCCTCAATATTTATAATGAGCTCATATAGATTTTTTCAACAATTCGGTAAAACAAGTCGGCCCTGACTATTGCTATCCGTTTATCGCGATACGATAGTTAAACCTAAATTTATGTTGGGTTTTTATTTAATATGTAAACATCTCTTAGTTAACTAGACGATATTTATTGAATAAACTTGATTTTGTTGGAAAATCATTTGGAATTTGTCGGAGCTGTCTTCCCATTATGCATGTACATGTAGTAGGTTCATATATATTGTATTGTCAGGCGGAGTGCTACTTCAATACAGTATTTTTTGTTATGCCACACTGTGGTAATGTCGAGTGTACCGCAGGGGATCACTTGATTTATGTCTTCACCATTCGATTTGTCCGAATGCAACGATTCGTCACAAAATCTTGTCTAGTATACTTTACTGCTGTTTTCGACTATCTGCTATTGCTACGACTTATCAGTTAATGCGTTTCGTTAATATATGCAAAGTTGACGAGGAAGTAAAGTGGTTTTTCAAAGCTTGATTTTTTTATTATTATTTTGCAATCTTTATATTCAGCGTAAAAATAAATTAATATTTGATTAACGATTAATTAAAATTCAGTTACACTGTGTATTATTTCAATGTTCCTTAATTTTAATTGGAATTTCGTTATTAGATAAAATTAGTTATAAGCAAAGCGTTTTTAAAGTATCAATAAAACATATTTTTTTTTTAATCCTATCATCAATAATAATAATAAATGACATAGTGTGAAATTATCAATTCAATTATCATTAGTCGTGTATTTTTATTTTTCAATTTCATCCCCT